TTGGAATAGAGCTAACCAATTTGAGAAGGAAAATGACATTGACCTACTTACAAGATCACAGGGAAAAATATGTCAAGCAACTTCTGAAGAAGAATCAAAAAGCATAGAATCTTATAATAATATTTTGCTGGTAGTTTCAACAGATGGAGCCAACAAAGTTTGCGAGGGAAATATTTTTAGTGCAATATAATATTTAATGAGAATATTTTGCTATGACTGCTTAAATATTCAGGTGAGCGATACAAGCCCTCTTGGGCCTCTTGTTGTTGAACATCTTTGTTATAAATTGTCATAGAATATTTTTATGTTACATATTCATGGACTAAGGGTATGTCTCATAAATAAACTTGCATATCATTATCATATTATAATCTATCACTTGTTTGTTTAAGATCTATTGAAATGTTGACTGAGGGAGTCACCATCCTGAGTAATGTAACATTGACTGGGGTCACCATCCTGAGTAATGTAACATTTACTGGGGTCACCATACTTAGTAATGTAACATTGACTGGGGGTCACCATCCTGAGTAATGTAACATTTACTGGGGTCACCATCCTGAGTAATGAAACATTGACTGGGGGTCACCATCCTGAGTAATGTAACATTGACTGGGGTCACCATCCTGAGTAATGTAACATTTACTGGGGTCACCATCCTGAGTAATGAAACATTGACTGGGGGTCACCATCCTGAGTAATATAACATTGACTGGGGTCACCATCCTCAGTAATGTAATATTGACTGGGGTCACCATCCTTAGTAATGTAACATTGACTGGGGTCACCAACCTAAGTAATGTAACTTTGACTGGGGGTCACCATCCTCAGTAATGTAACATTGACTGGGGGTCACCATCCTGAGTAATGTAACATTGACTGGGGTCACCATCCTCAGTAATGTAACATTGACTGGGGTCACCATCCTTAGTAATGTAACATTGACTTGGGTCACCATCCTGAGTAATGTAACATTGACTGGGGTCACCATCCTGAGTAATGTAACATTGACTGGGGGTCACCATCCTCAGTAATGTAACATTTACTGGGGTCACCATCCTGAGTAATGTAACATTTACTGGAGTCACCATTCTGAGTAATGTAACATTGACTGGGGGTCACCATCCTCAGTAATGTAACATTGACTGGGGGTCACCATCCTGAGTAATGTAACATTGACTGGGGGTCACCATCCTAAGTAATGTAACATTGACTGGGGTCACCATCCTCAGTAATGTTACATTGACTGGGGTCACCATCCTCAGTAATGTAACATTAACTGGGGTCACCATCCTGAGTAATGTAACATTGACTGGGAGTCACCATCCTCAGTAATGTGACATTGACTGGTTTCATCATCGTGAGCAATGTAACACTGACTGGGAGTCACCATCCTCAGTAATGTAACATTGACTGGGGAACACCATCCTGAGTAATGTAACATTGACTGGGGAACACCATCCTTAGTAATGTAACATTGACTGGGGGTCAATTTCCTGAGGAATGTAACGTTAGCCACAAAGGAGTTACAAAGTTTGAAACCTTCAGTTGACATCTCCGAAGAAACATTTTGGTATATTTTCATTTAATAAAATTATCCTTAGTTTATGAGGATCAAAATCAGTATTCCAGAAGGTATTGACCACAAATTGTATTCATATAGGGAATGACTGTGAGATGAAAAGTTTCATTTTTGACTGATTTCAGCCGTTTTAAGAAGTTACAAGCAATACAAACATCTACTGTCTCTGCCCATTTATATCTGCTTGATGCAAAACTTATTTTAGTCACAGAGTACAATGTCTTCAAATGGTGTCTTCTTACCAGTTGATTTCCTCAATTATTTATAAAATTGTCCTGAAAGGATTAGAATTTATACTCAAGAACGGGCAAGCAATTTCCTCGGCAGGCTAATAAAGGATTCACTTATTCTAGTAAAAACCATCATGACAACTCTGCTGCATGTAACTGGTAGATGGAACCAACCTTTGTTCACTATGTACCATATCCATTAATCTACTTGGATGAATCAGAAATGTTAACCAATGGCACATGACTCATGACAACAGATTAGTTGGAGGAAATAGGTCATATGAGCCGTCTGCGAAATCAACTGGCAACATTTCAGTAAAAAGGTTTTTATTGAATACAATATATTAATATACAAAACAATTTCAAACACATAATTAGGTTTTCAAAAACTTGTAGTCAATAATGCTTATCAATTGCATGACTTATTGTGTTTTATGTACTACACAAATATTTTGTAATCCTTAGCCTCATTGGGCTACAACACACCTGACAGGGTCCTGTGTGTGTCCCAGACATGCAACACTACCTGCAGCTGTATTCTGGAGGAACTTCCCCTTAAAGCAATTGAGCCAACACAGATTTAGTACACTCTTTCATTCCAATAAAACACAGAATAATCATAATATTACAGAAATATTGTGTAATATTAAAATCAGCAACACACATCATAATACAATTTAAATTCAAATTCCTGATGGCTTTATGCCAAGGAGCATATAAGTATATAAACAACTACCATACTCATCGAAAAACATCTCCAAAGATTACTGGAGAGTATTAGAACACATAACACAAGACGTGCAAGGACCTTTAATCGCTCACCTGGCTACTTTGGAAATCATGTTGAAATGTAACATTGTAGTAGAAGTAGAAGACCCTCAAGAGAGCAAGTCCTGTAAATTTATTTGTAAAACTTTTGATCCCCTTGGCTTTAGGAAGCTACCTCTATTTTAGTTTGGTTAAAACCTGTCCAGATGTTTGGGAAGATATGTCTTTTAAGGTAAAATTTCCTATTCAACACCGTTTGACCTCAATCCTCAGCCTCCAGGAAGGTAAGACCCTTTATTTCTATGGGTTAAGAATGCTACCACTACATATTGATTAAATCTTCCCCTTGTAGTCACCATCCCCCNCCCCCCCCCCCCCCCCCCCCATCATCTCCTTTTGTGAAACTTAAGATCCCTGTTGGCTAAGCAAGTTTTCATTACAATTTGGGTGAAATCTGCCAGTAATCTGGAAGGAGATGCCATGTTAAATAAATCGTGGAATCTGACCCCTTTGACCCCCATCCTCAGCCCCTAAGGATTGTCAATTCCTCTCTTTGTATATCCTTTTTTATCTCAATGAGCTAAGCAAGCTACCAACAAATTCTGCTTCGTAGATTGGGAAGAGATGTCATTTAAAGCAAAAGTTGACCGAAGACGGTTGAAGCACCACCACCACATATGCTTGTACCAGGTGAGCTGGTCACTTAACTGTCCAATGTATATATTGTATGTAGCATTTGTACCACAGGAACAGCAAATCTGAATAGGCAATTATGAAAATAAAACGAAACAATCAGAAAACAATTACATGTACATGGAAGTTTCAGTTAACAATTTTCAAATTGTGTTAAAAGTGAAAAAAAGGTTTTAAACCCAAACTGAACTAAATTTTCACTATGCTGTTATACAAGTTGTATGCTGAAGTTTTCATACTTGTTTCTGCTCATATGACAATTCAAGAGTAATCAAAAGAAAGCTCATTTTTAATAAGATACGAGTGTCAATCAATTAAACATTTTTCAATATGGCAAAGAAAATCCATTTCCACATCAAATTCATTCAGACAACGTTTACAGAGATACTGTGAAGGGACATTCACAGGAGAATCACTTCGTGGAGTGGTGGATCTGATCTGTGGCAGGTCATCATCGTATGGATGTGTTGATTCCACAGGCTCCCGGACTGACACCACATGATCCGGGTCACCTGCACAAACATTAAACTGATGTAATCTAGAGTCAGTTGATTGGTTTTTCAATGGTTCAACCTTCCTTGCTACATTTTCATAAATGTGGATTTCTTCAGCAGGTGGATTAGGATCTGTTTCAAAGGAAGATTGCGGTGTAATATGTCTATCAGGGGTTCCTCCTGTTGTCATGGTAACATTGCGCGGCCCTCCTGTTGATGAATTTGCCAATCTCTGCTCAAGTAGGTTTTTCTGGTGGGCAAGTCGGTCAAACTACATACAAACAAAAAACAATTAGATATGATGATTTTAAAATAAGGATTTTTAGTATCATGAGTCTAAAAGGATATTAAACATTTATTTGCTAAGTGTAAATGATATAGGACTACTGAGATATCTTGATTTTGAAAGTCATACTAGCTAGGACCACTGATGTAGCTAGGTTTTATGTTACAGCACATATACCCTGACATGCCTAGATTTTGAGGTCATAATACATGACTAAGAATCACCGACATCTAGTTTTCAGATCTCCATTCATAATGAAGGACTCCCAGCACAGCTAGATTTTGATATTACAGTTCAACATGTGTGGCATAAACCCAGCATAGCTAGGTTTTGATATTACAGTTCAACATATGTGGCATAAAACCCAGCATAGCTAGATTTTGATATTACAGTTCAACATATGTGGCATAAAACCCAGCATAGCTAGATTTTGAGTTTATATAAGAAGATCTTCTGAAATTATTGTTTTCAAATCAACCTTGACAAGCTTTGAGGTGGCTGTACATAATGAAGACATACTAGCAAACACATAAATTGCCTATCCCCCTGCCCCCAAAATAAAAACCTCACAAATCAATCCCTTGACATACCTTAGTTTTGAGGTTGCCATACATGACATAAAGGTTGTGTTTGGTGAGCCCATGACAACGCTGTTCCTCACGGAGAGTAGCCTCAAGCTGCATGGCCCTGTCCCGCTCCTTACACAAGTTGTTCTGGATCACCTCAATCTGACAACACAAACACAACAATGAAGCTGCAATCTCAGTATTTTGTTTTGACTTTATCAATTGAAAATGCAAGCAAATTAGGGCCAAACAACACTAAAAAACCTTAACAGTAAACAGTGTAACTCTGTAACAGCAACCCAAATGGTACCTCTATTGTACAACACAGTGTAACTCTGTAACAGCAACCCCAATGGTACCTCTACTGTACAACACAGTGTAACTCTGTAACAGCAACCCCAATGGTACCTCTACTGTACAACACAGTGTAACTCTGTAACAGCAACCCCAATGGTACCTCTACTGTACAACACAGTGTAACTCTGTAACAGCAACCCCAATGGTACCTCTACTGTACAACACAGTGTAACTCTGTAACAGCAACCCCAATGGTACCTCTACTGTACAACACAGTGTAACTCTGTAACAGCAACCCCAATGGTACCTCTACTGTACAACACAGTGTAACTCTGTAACAGCAACCCCAATGGTACCTCTACTGTACAACACAGTGTAACTCTGTAACAGCAACCCCAATGGTACCTCTATTGTACAACACAGTGTAACTCTGTAACAGCAGCCCCAATGGTACCTCTACTGTACAACACAGTGTAACTCTGTAACAGCAACCCCAATGGTACCTCTATTGTACAACACAGTGTAACACTGTAACAGCAACCCCAATGGTACCTCTATTGTACAACACAGTGTAACTCTGTAACAGCAACCCCAATGGTACCTCTACTGTACAACACAGTGTAACTCTGTAACAGCAACCCCAATGGTACCTCTATTGTACAACACAGTGTAACTCTGTAACAGCAACCCCAATGGTACCTCTACTGTACAACACAGTGTAACTCTGTAACAGCAACCCCAATGGTACCTCTATTGTACAACACAGTGTAACTCTGTAACAGCAACCCCAATGGTACCTCTATTGTACAACACAGTGTAACTCTGTAACAGCAACCCCAATGGTACCTCTATTGTACAACACAGTGTAACTCTGTAACAGCAACCCCAATGGTACCTCTATTGTACAACACAGTGTAACTCTGTAACAGCAACCCCAATGGTACCTCTATTGTACAACACAGTGTAACTCTGTAACAGCAACCCCAATGGTACCTCTATTGTACAACACAGTGTAACTCTGTAACAGCAACCCCAATGGTACCTCTATTGTACAACACAGTGTAACTCTGTAACAGCAACCCCAATGGTACCTCTATTGTACAACACAGTGTAACTCTGTAACAGCAACCCCAATGGTACCTCTATTGTACAACACAGTGTAACTCTGTAACAGCAACCCCAATGGTACCTCTATTGTACAACACAGTGTAACACTGTAACAGCAACCCCAATGGTACCTCTATTGTACAACACAGTGTAACTCTGTAACAGCAACCCCAATGGTACCTCTATTGTACAACACAGTGTAACACTGTAACAGCAACCCCAATGGTACCTCTATTGTACAACACAGTGTAACACTGTAACAGCAACCCCAATGGTACCTCTATTGTACAACACAGTGTAACACTGTAACAGCAACCCCAATGGTACCTCTATTGTACAACACAGTGTAACACTGTAACAGCAACCCCAATGGTACCTCTATTGTACAACACAGTGTAACACTGTAACAGCAGCCCCCAATGGTACCTCTATTGTACAACACAGTGTAACTCTGTAACAGCAACCCCAATGGTACCTCTATTGTACAACACAGTGTAACTCTGTAACAGCAACCCCAATGGTACCTCTATTGTACAACACAGTGTAACTCTGTAACAGCAACCCCAATGGTACCTCTATTGTACAACACAGTGTAACTCTGTAACAGCAACCCCAATGGTACCTCTATTGTACAACACAGTGTAACACTGTAACAGCAACCCCAATGGTACCTCTATTGTACAACACAGTGTAACTCTGTTACAGCAACCGCAATGGTACCTCTATTGTACAACACAGTGTAACCTTGAAGTAGGAACTGTAATGATATCTCTTCAATACAACAGTGTTGTTATATTTATGTTGTTTGCAAATTAATCTGACAGTGCCACAGACCATACACTAAGCTTCCAAGAGGAGGTCTTTGTTGTGTGTTTTCTTGTAAGGTAGCTATCATGTCAGAACATTTTGGAGGTAATATTTCAGATGTATTTAGTGGTGAATAGCTGATAACCCTAAAGCAAACTCTAATGAATTATTTAATAGAGGCAGCGTTTACCGTGGACAGAAGATGGTTGTTGTCTTCTTCGTATTCAGAGATCATTTTCTTGAGTTTGAAGTTTTCATCCTCGAGTTGCATCTTCTTTGTTTTCAGATCTGCCTGTTCGTGATGCCTTTCCGTATCCTGCACACTCTTTAGAAGCTGCTGGTAGGATTTCTTGATATCCTGAGTTCATAATAACAAGGCGGCAGTGTAATAACTGTTGATAAGCACAAATACTAGTATGACAATGTCATATTTTTCCTTGAAAACTGAAACTACCTCTAAATAATCAAAATCACGCTAACATTTTCTTTCATGTCAGAAATTCTTAACTGTTAAATATGTGTCTATAATTATAAATAAACACCGAGTTTTCCTGTTCAGAAAGGAGTGGATCAAATTATGTTCCACGGACAAGTCTTAATTTAGGAATATTTTTCGATAAAAAAGTAAAGTTATTGTTTGCAGATTGAACACAAATTGAAGGATATTCATTATTTTTTCTTTTTAAATTGAGATTTCTAAAGCATGTCCTAAAGCATTGGATATTTTTCATCATCAATCTCATGTGACACAGAAACTCATTTAGTAAGATCAATAGTCATCACTTCATGCCTGAATATAGAACAGATATATATAGATGTAGCAAAGAAAGAATTTTCTTGTATTGACATTATCTAATATTAAAATGGCATTGGAAGTGCTCTTCCTTTTAGATTATAACAAGGATTATGTATTCATAGCTTGTTATTTTCCATGTAATCTTTTTGATTATAACAAGGATTATGTATTCATAGCTTGTTGTTTTCCATGTAATCTTTTAGATTATAACAAGGATTATGTATTCATAGCTGGTTGTTTTCCTTGTAATCCTTTAGATTATAACAAGGATTATGTATTCATAGCTTGTTGTTTTCCTTGTAATGAGCAGTTCAATCATGTAATGATTTCCCTTACTCAAACATTTGTTATTGTAACCTAATTCTGACAGCCTACAGTTTAAGTTATTCTTATAATCCTCAGTTTACCTTATTCTCTTTGATGAGTCGTTCATTAAGGAGATGCTGATCCTCAAGCTGTTTGGTCAGCCTTTGTATGCGATTCTGTGTATCTTTCATAACTTGATGAGGATCAGGTGACAATCTCTCACCTGTCGTCTATAACAATCAGAAAAGGTTCACTACAGTAAATCAACACATAAAAAAATGTTTTGACCCAAGGAGAAAGTCCCCAGAGGCAAGGCCAGATCTTAGGGACCAAACCTGGTAATATATATGTATCTATAAAATTATATAATGGGGCAGAGCTGAACCCATGGACCCAACCTGGTAGCATATGATGTTCATCTCTTCATGCTCAGTAAGCAAGTATATGGTTATATGGCAAACACCTCAACCATTTTCAAATAATTACCTTATTTGGACCTTCCCTTTAGGCTCCTGGGAGATCAGTCCAGGTCTATGTAAATTTTCGAAATATCACCACTTGAGAATGATTCTCTATAGATATGGCTAATAATCATCACATAGATCTAGAGGAAAAGACACTTAAAAGCAATATGTCTAAAATTTAGACATATTGCTTTTAAGTTTAGGGGGGTGTGAGGGCTTTGGTCACAAGTTATTTAAAATCATTTGTGACCAAAGCCCTCACCCCCCTTTTAATTTAATACTTTGAATCAACATTAACTGAGGATGCTTAATATATGATGGATATCCAACAGTTTAGAGAGGAAATGTCACTTAATATAGAGGAAAGAGTTTAAGAGAGAAAAGCCAAAACTAACCCTTTTTTCATTCATATTTTCCTCTGTATTGGAGTTATTGTCACTGCTCCATTTTGGGGACACCAACGGTCTCAGAAATGGACTTGTTTGGCAAGAGCTATCAGACATCCTGGACACCATATCCTTGGTAGACCTGGAATCATACAGGCAGACTGATGATAAGGAATCGCTCGTCTGGCTGTTCACAGTTGTTCCTTCGATGTTCTGATGCAGTTGTGTCTTGTATAAGGTAACATCCTTGTAGAGACTTTGCACCTTTTCCTTAAACACATCTTTTTCTTTTGACACATCTTTTAACTGCTGTTCTAAAGCTTCCACCTTTTGATGAGAATGTCTTTGTATCTGCAAGTACATCAATATAACAAGGATTATAAAACACTGAATGTTTGACTTTAACACCTGTCTGCCTGAGACTGGCAGTTAATACAAATTTTATACTCAGATTTTTCAAAACTTTCTTATGCCCAACAAGGACCAACATGTATTCTCTAAGTGTTTCCCCCCCCCCCCCCCCCCCAAAGTCTCACAGCAGCCTTTACACATAACCACTGAGAGCAACATTGTTTTACCAATCCTTTCCATCATGTTATCACCATAATGTATGGATCCTTTTACAGTTTGTTGGAGATATATGGTACCACCAATAATTTTGAAAAAGAGATGTCTTTTGAAGCTTTTGCACTTTGTGACCACTAATGGCCCCTACACCCTATGGGGTTCTTAGTCCCTTCTTTGGTAAATAAAATCTTATTCTTATCATTTAAGAATTATTTCAGAGATACAATGTTTGAACGTTTCGCATTCAGTGGTCCTTTATGACCCCTACCTCTCTGCCCCTGCTTGAATATAGATTTTGATCCTCATTTTCTAAGGATCGTTTTATAGAATGTTGGTAAAAATCCATGCATGAGTTTCAGAGATTTTGTGAAGGTTTTGTGTGATCTGTTAAGATCACTGTCCCAGTCCTCCGTGGGTCACCCTAACTTAGGGATTAACCCTTCTTAAGTACAGACTGATGTATATAAATACCGATGAATTTGGTTGAAATCGAACAGACCATTTCTGAGGCAAAATAAAATTATTATTTACAGATTAAGGACATCGAAAAGACAAGCACAACACGTCACAATAGTGATTTAGGTGATCTGATACAAACCTCAACTTGATTTAAATCTGTATGGTTCTGCTGGAGAACACGCTGTAGTTGTCTCTTCGTCTTTATAAGTTCCATTTTTAAATTGTTGAAGTACTGAACTGAAACTCCCTCTAATGTCTCTTTTAACGAGCTTTTAGTGTCACAGTCAAGTTTTGACTCCTCCATCTGATTTTTCTTCATCACAGAATCAGAAGTTCCTTTTAAGCTTGAAGATACATTTATGTCATTTCCAAATTTGAAAACACGAGGCTCTGGGTATGTGACCTGGTGTGACTTCCCCTGGGGCATGACTTGCTCTCTTGGAAACGACTTGCCCTTCGAGTAACTTCTATAAGACAGAGGTCCACCGTCTATCTGAAGGCTTGATTCAACAGAAGATACCTGTGGATTGGTAGATGAAAACTGTGAGAAAGATGACACAGGTCCACTGCTCTCACTTTCATCAGTCGTTTCTTCACTAAGTCCATCTTTCCATTCTAGAGTCAACTCTCCAATACGTTTGTGAGCCTCTAGAAGGAGTTTTTCTAACTCTTTTGATCTTTTTCTTTCCTTGCGAAGTTCAATGTCATTTTCCTGCAGATGGAGGTTAAGATTATGTGCCCCCTTGGCTCTGCTTTTCAATGAATCTGCCTCTTCCTTGGAAAGCAGCACAAACTTATCTAATGATGCTTGGAGACCTTTCTCCATTTCAAACACATTCTGAACTTCTAAATCTGTTATAATAGAAGAAAAATGATGATAACGTAATCAATTTGCAAAATCAATGACTGAAATAATTGATTCTAAAAATTGTAAATATTGCAAAAGTGTATATATAGTCGTCATTTCAGTTCCTGATCACTTTAACATAAAATTTGTGTATGGGGAACTGGGCTAGGTCGATCACCCGCTACCAGGTAACATCAATCTAGAGTTTGGCGAGTCCTAGGAGCAAATCACAAACTAACAGTGCATTTTTCTCTCTCCTTTTACAGTGGTGCCTTTGTCCAACCCTTGTTTAAGTACTGGGTGAATGCTAAAACTACAAGGGAATTTTAAAACCTTGGCTGTCAATATTGTTATTTTCTGGGGCAAAGAACTAAATAAAACTAAAAGGCGGGATGAATGTAGCAGATATGGACTTGGTCATTTGCATGATTATTGCTACCGAGTGTTAAAAGTTATGAGCACATTTGATTAATCCCGACCCGCCCAGCCATTATAATGTTACAAGTATATTTCAAATTTAGAAGTTAAGTAGGTTTACCAAAAAACACATGATTAGTGCTTTATTATATATCAAGAACAATATGACTTACAAATCCAGATTGTCGATACGTACTGGACACTGATACACGTACTGGACACTGATACACTATATAAATACAATCAAATGAAACACAGTATCAAGTCTTCCATACCATGTGACGTTTGACCACAGTAACTTCTGAAAACGCTACAGTATCATTTAAGATAACACTCTGACGCACATCTTATCCCTCTTACCTTTGCTTCCGTGTTACTTATCCGTTCTATTTATAGAATGTATCCTGATTATCTCAGAGTACGAAAATGGTAAACATGCATGCAAACAATGTTGCTTTAGCAAAAAGAAACATGTAATATTTCAAATGCAAAGTTGAATTAACTGGAATTGAGGTTCCTCATTTGAACTTTCATTTTCCTCGAAATGGAGAATTTCCGTTTGTAGTATAAATATATTTGTTAATTTTTTTAATATGTTTTCTTACACGTACGTAGGGATTTCCCCCTATGACCAAGTTGTCCGATGCACGCTTGAAATAGCTGCGTAAGAATCAAACACTTATCTGATTCAGAAGAGATGAGGCACCTGTGGGATATAGCAGAGACGTAATACATACGTCTCTGGATATAGTGAGAAAATAGTTAATATCAAAGAAATATATTTTAGAACAACATTTTTGGGCATGTGTTTATACGTTTAAGATAGGATGTGTATCTTTGATATTGGTTATAACATGAGAATGACAAATAAAATCAATGCGACGAAAACATACACTGCTGATCGTTCAAAGGGAAGTAACTCATGATATAACGTTAGTTTCGATAGGCCTACGTCGAAAGCCATGGATTTTAATCAGCTCCTCGGAGTCCCGATTAAAACGGGTTAACCCGTGGCTTTGCGACGACAACCGTCATAAGGCGATCGCCTCTTATCATCCATGGATAATAGGCGTAGTGAGAAGCGGAACATTTAAATATATGGACAAGGACGTGTTGTATAAAAAAGACATAATTGCAATAACCGTTAGAACATACAAGGAAGGTTAAGGATACTAGGACTAACATCTTTTAAAATAATATAAGAATTTTATATTGTTGATACCAAGAACAAAGTTGAACTGCAGGAAAAACTGTTTCTCTAACAGTATCGTCTCCGACCAGAACAGAACTATAAGAGAATTCAGGCACTCCTTAAATACCCTTCAAAATTTAGGATATTGGAACTTTTTATATGCAATTATGGTTTAATTGAAAAAGACGGACAACACATTTTTAGGTCACCTGAGACAAAGTCTCAAGTAACCTATTGCGATCGCCTTTTGTCCGTCGTTGTCCGTTGTGCGTCCGTAAACAATTTACATTTTCGACTTTTTCTCCAAAACCCCTGAACCAATTTCAATGAAATTTTGCAGAAACCTTCCATGGCCAAAGGTCAACTAAATTGGCCGGTTTGGTCCACAGCCCCCAGGGGCCCGAGGGGCGGGGCCAAAAAGGGTCAAATTGACTAAAATTTCAAAAACCTTCTTCTCAAGACCAAGATATGGTAGAATCAAATACTCTTCATAGATGGAAGGATCTTGTTTATGACCCTAGGGTCTCACGTTTACCCCCTGGGGAAGGAGGGGGGGGGGCAAAAATTATTATGGTTTATAATGGCAAATGATACTTTGAATATTACATGTCAATAACTTAATTGGAATTATAACCCTGAGGTGACAGTTTGATACTTTGAAAATTTTGAGCCAGCCCTACCCCCAAGGGCTGGAGGGTGGGCCCAAAGGCGTTAGCGGGCTAAAATTTCTTCATTTTCCTTGCTTAGAATCAGAGGTGCTAGTTTCAAATACTTTTTTAGTCTTAAATCTGTAAGCTAGATATTGATTAAGGTGGGTTTATTGTTTTTTTGTCACTTTGAATAATATTTTTGTTCATGTTAAAATCAAAATCAACTCTCTGTATAAATATATCAGGTGACCGTTAAGGCCCATGGGCCTCTTGTTTAGTTCATAACAGTTCTTTGTGGACTGGTTAAAAGAGTGATAAATATATCGATTTAGGCCTAGTACATTTTTGCCAGTCAGTGAAATATCGGATTCTATCAACTTGATAAAACATATCTTTCACACAGTGACAAATATCAAAAGTTAGAAGAGTGATAAATATAAATGATTGGTCACTACCAAAAAGTGATATTTTCACACTGTGAAAATATCACTTTTTGGTAGTGACCAATCATTTAATAGTCGTATATACCGCATCATATAACGTATCATAACGGTATCGTCTATTCCTTACATTCGGCAAAGGCAACGGTTTTTTGAGTTCAGATTCAAATGAAGCGACGGTAGAATAAGTGGTTGTTATGGTAAGTGTTTGGTACACACCCTTGAGTATTTACATAAATAACTGTCAGAAGTTTGGCGTTGATATCTGTCCGTTGTACACTCTGACTGAATTTTAGATATGGTGTGCTGTGCCGACAATTACTGCTTCTGGTTTGATGTATTTAAGGCTCCTTTTCTGTTGATATCGGTCCTGCATATTTACATATCCTGCATATTACACGGAATGAGAATGTTTTACAACACGATTTTAATCTACAGAACTTCATGTGTAATCGTTTCTCGACTGTATAAATTGATGGCATATTTTAACATTTTCCTTCCGTTTTCCTTTTTTCCCGGCAAGGTTTCGTACGTATTGCGCCAACAGTTGCTGTACAGAGAAGATCGTTTCGTCCTCTATCTTTTTGACCGCTAGCTGTCTCTCCGCAATAGAAAGTTCGATCGAGTTTTGATTTTAGTTTAAACATTATTTTAATCCTAATTTTTGCACATTAAACAAACTTCAAAACATAGAATAGTTTGGATTTTGAAGTAAGTTGTATAAAACGTTTAAGATATCTTTTGTGAAACTGTGCGTAAATTGTTAGAAATCGGAGAGACAGCTGTTAGCGAATAGGCTGCTCTATCCGGTAGATAATGTATTTGTTTCAGTGTCCTTGTTTGCAAGGTGTTCAGTTTTTGTGACCCAGAGTTTGTACAGCTCCTGCGTCCAGTCAGTATATGATTCTTGGGACGACAATGATTTCCATAATATGTGTCCTCCCATGAATTCCAGCACCAGTATAGTATAAGCAGTCCTTCTCCCTACTTTCTCACCGATGTTTACCTTTCCCTTGGACTCTCTTTGTATACCGAGATGTGTGGTGTCTACACAGTTGGGATGTTTTTGCCATCCAATGTGTATTTGATTCCTGATATTTGGGGGTGTTTACACAGTTGGGATGTTTTTGCCATCCAATGTGTATTTGATTACTGATATTTGGTGGTGTTTACACAGTTGGGATGTTTTTGCCATCCAATGTGTATTTTGATTCCTGATATTTGGTGTTGTTTACACAGTTGGGATGTTTTTGCCATCCAATGTGTATTTGATTCCTGATATTTGGTGGTGTTTACACAGTTGGGATGTTTTTGCCATCCAATGTGTATTTTGATTCCTGATATTTGGTGTTAAATGATATACAGGCCATCGTAGTTGGATTGATATCGTATCTGTTTTCGTGACTTCACTGATCAACAGTTTCCAGCATCAAATCAATCTCTTTTGTAGAGTGCGACAATAGAGCATGGTCATCGGCACATATAGTGTGAGGAATTTTGATGATCTATGCCCCTTCTTTCTCCTCCAATTGGATGAGCAAGGGTTGTTATATCGTTTGTAGCGTTCGGTAGACAAAACTGCACTCTGACGTACTCCCTATTTGGTGTTAATTGAAGATGGTATCCTCTTCCATTTTACCTGGTCATGTTTTTGAGAAGCATCTATTTTGCAGACTGTATGCCATCAAAGTAGAAATTCTGTAGTAAGAGACGATGATCCACTACATCGAAATCTTTTCTTGTATCAAGAATTGTAAAGACGAGAGGTTTGGTTGCTTACTTGGTTTCATATTGACATTAAGTAATTAGTAGGGCAGATTTAATGGCTGATTGTTTTTGAGTTTTCCTGTTACAGTTTTAAGTTCATCCAAAGATGCAGATGTGATAGTGTCAGACGAGTAGTCAAGGTTCTCCTCAACATCTTAAACGATATTTCGTCGAAGTAGCCGTTGTCGTATTTGTTTTCAGGGATAGAAGTGGCGAAAGATTGAAAATGATGTTATTTGGTCACACTTCCTTCAATTCTGTTTGAGTTTGACAGTTCTTTTGTCGACCATTTTACCTGATGTAATGATTATTTAGTAGAAAGGGCTTTGTTGCCCAATACCTTTTTCGGATGAATACCTGGTCAGTATAGACGACCTCAGATGTTTGTTCAGCTAGTTTGTATTTCTGTATGTAGTCAATTTCTCCAGATGATTTACCGTTTTCGTGAATGAAGGGTGAATCTCCATTTTGTTGATTTATGAGTTGATGTTTCATAACAAAGTCTCGTAAAAACAAACCCGTTTCATTTTGAGGATTGCGTGACAAGGGGGCATTTAGGTATCTACATAAGAAGATGACATGGTCATTATACTTCGTTTAAATAAGTTCTCAGGTGTCAAATATATAAAAACCTTTAAACATTTTTTTTTGCTGAATAACCAGGAGAAAATTTCAGCTACTGTTTCAATGAATTTTGTTGTTGGTTAGAAGCCAAAACGTCAATGTTCCTTGTCGGTTTTCTGCAGTAGTTGTTTGTCATAATGCGAATTGGAATTGATGCTTTTGACATTTACGGTAGCGAGTTTGATAGAGGTGCAGCTTTGTATTTGTTCGGATGTATTTTCTCTGTTGCTAGGCCCCGTAACATAAAGAGATTGGTTGTTACGATTGTTGGATTCCTGGTGTTTATGTGGTGGTTCTGTATATTAGCTGTGTCTGCCCTTCTCCTTCGGTTACGGGTGCCATACTCGATCGACCGTCCATGTCCGTAGTTATTTCTGAATCGGGGAGGAACATGGCTAGATTTTTCTACGTATCTCTTTAGTTCTATCTTTCGCATGTTTGTTTTGTAAGGATTACTTTGTGCCGTTAATGGTATAATAGGTATTGGATCCAGTTCCACGATGTGGCTATTAGGTTGCCCGTGGTTTATTCCACGTGAGGTATAAGCATTTCTTCCCATTGTGTTGTTGAAATACATGATTGGGGGTGGAGTTGGAAACCTCACCATCATAGGCATGAAAACAGAGATGGGGTTTGGATGGACCGGACCATGTCCATGAGGCTGCACATGTCGCTGAGAAGCACTCGTGTTGGATTATGTGTTCAATTGAGTTGATAGCTGTTGTATGTTCTCCATGTTTGATTGCCTAGAACATAGAAAGTCATTTTATAGTTGTCCGATTCTTATATGGAGGTCTTGATTTGGGTATGGTGTTTGTCTGTTGCATTGCAGAAGATACAGTTGTGAGCAAAGTTCGTGCCCAGTATATTTACAGACGTATTTTCGGTGACTTCATCAGTGGGAATATGTTGATCTGATATAAGTAAGTTGTAGAGTTATTTGACATGTTGTGATGGATCTAC